CCCTCGGTGACAGATAATTGGTTGGAATTTTTAAAATTTTAGCAGCATTTTTCAACGGAGAGTTTTTATATTTTTCAAGTACTTTTCAGATGATGGAGGGAATTAAAGTTTCAACCCGTCCGAACTTAAGTGCTTTTTTACTTGTTTAATTGAATATACCTCCATTACATGGCGAAGGGTATAAAACTGCACCAAGCTCATATTTTTAGTAGATTTCGGTATGGATACCAAATTTTTTTACACTATTTAGGCCCTACCAAATTAGTAAGACGATTGCACAATGGACACACATCTATTTTTTCTGTCAAAAACTATGTCAACGTCTCCATAAGCAAACCCTAGAAACCAACAGGGACCACAATTTCATATTTCAGATCTATTTTTTCACCTAATAACAAATCTAGTATCATTTAGTACATGTATCCAAAACAATCTACATCTCTCCTCACAGTGATCCAAAATTAGTACCATTTAGTACAATTCGAACAATAATAGCACGCATTTGCAAAACCAACACCAAATCTCAACACAAGATACCAACAGAGACCTCAATGTCAAATTTCGGAATTCCAACTCTATACATTATCTGCCAAATTTGGTAACATTTAGTACTTTTCGTATAATTTAAGTACTCATTTGCTAAACCGTTCAGTATTTCAATCAAAGACACCAACAGTTATCATATTATAACATTTCACGGTTTCAGCTCTATCCCTTCATCCAATACCTCCATATGTCCAAGCCACGCATGAACACCGACTCTAATAGCAAATTTCAGATTTCAAGCGCTATAGTACTATATAAGTACTACTATACTATCGTGCACTTGTAGTCAACATTGTCAAAACCACCTTTTATTATAAACATCCTACGCACAGGTACCCCAATACCAAAATTTCGAAAGTTCAGTTTCATCCGTTCACCCTAACCAAACTATTCCAAATTCAGTAATTTAGACTCTAACCGTTATAGCCTCCAAGGCTATAAAACGCTCATGAAGTTTTGTGTTTTGTTTGAGTATAGTTGTACCTTATTTAACCGTACATAGCCTAACCCAATAGAAGAAGAGGGCAAATTATGAACCAGGAGGAATATTTCTATGGGGATTAATTCAAGTGTTTGGTATTTATTAAACTCCATAATATTAGTTTAGTTTATAACTAATTTGATGTTGTTTTGTGGTTTATGTTCAAACCGTGTTGCGATACATAAATAACTGCTATAATTATGAAAATGTCACTTCCCTTTGAAAAAAAAAATCCGCATAAAAATTATTTCTGCTAATAACCGACGCATGGGCGTTGATGACTTTTATGGAATGAGCCCGACCGCACTTTTGATGTTTTGCTGTTAAACACACACGCACGTACATTCATAATGCCAACCTGAGAGGTTTTACACCAATCACCTATGATATAATACAGACATACATCTACCACATTTCGAGTGCAAATTAATTCTCAAAGTCACTAATAACATTTTCTAGTTGTAATTGATGTTGCGGCAAAGGGTGTGGAGATATCTATGCACAGCTATACAACGCGGTAAAAAATCGCAATAAATGTACTTCACACTACATACACACACACACACACACACAGATTTATGCATCTATGTACAGTCATTGTATTTGAATGCTGTGCGCTATTAACAGCATGTTTTGTTTTCCATGGCTGCGAATAAACCATTTTCAGCGAAAATTAATCTTAAACGCATTTTTTTTTTTCGTTTCGGTGGGGGCAATTAAGAAAAGAATTGCCACAGTGGGTTCCTGGGGATAATAAGACATTGATTTAGGCTACTAAATAGAACAGATTTGTTGGGATCCCACACGGAACTACGATATCTTGAATCTTTTTCAAGTCCAAAAACGTCGATTTAAAAAAAAAAGCTTCCCAAGGACCATCAAGCCTGCAATCATGGTTTCTTAAAAATATGTTTTGCAAGTATCATCCTGCCACAAATTTTGATTTCTCCCTCGCCCAGGCGTATCAGGAAGAACTTTCATGATGTAGAGATGGAGGTCCAACGCTTTAAGAGAGCCCTATATCAAGAAGTATATCGGGCAGGTTTGAGTAGCATTCCATCAATAACTACGTTATGAATATCGACCACAGAGCAGTGAAGAGTAGCGAAATACAGGGTGATATAAAAAACTGCAACAAAGACAGACGCTATAATTTTTACATTTTTTTAAAAGCAAAAATGTCGGAAATAGCATCAAATTTTAGAATAAGTTTAGATTTTTTCGAATTGGTTACCTTAGTATTGGCACGAATTATGGCCTTCAAACGGCCAATGAAACCGTCACACGCTACCCGAATGTTGCTATGCGGTATTTTGGCCCATTCCTGGCGAAGCGTTTGCTTGAGGTGATCGACACTTTGGTATTTTTTAGTGTCAACCTTGTTTTTCAAAATACTCCAGACACAATAGTCCAACGGATTGGTATCCGGAGATTTTGGTTGTTGTTGTAGCAGTAGTACATGCAAGTGTTTGCGGTCTGGTTCAAGCTCTAGGTTTAGAAATTCGGAAAGACATTTGATTGGCTGTAGCCAGAGATCTTATGGAGTGAGTTGGGTAGGTTTGGCTGTGCAATTAAAGAGGTGCAGCGTATTGTGCAGGCCTGTATCACACGCTGGCCAGGCGTCATGCGCATCTTCATCAATTCGTGCCCAATACGAATTGAGATGACTACTCCATCCTGAACGTAATTTCACCAAAACTACCCTGGTTTGTCTAGGCAGCTGACGTTCTTCAGCTGCAATGGATGATGGGTGGACTTCGAGGATGGCATTCATTTTATAACTGCTAATAGCATCCGCGACTACTTCGGTGTGAATGCCACTCAGAACTGCCTGAAAGGCTTCTTGATCTAGAGGTTCTCTCTTGTAGCGTTGACCTGATACGCCTGGGTGAGGGAGATTTATCCACCATATGAAAGGAAGGATTTTCGCCTCCTCATTTAGATGGTCCACTGGTGTCATGAGAAGGCACCCTTTCGCAGTTCTCAGGGTCTGGATATGCTTCCACTCCGTAGCACTAGTATTCGCAGACCACACTGGAGCCGCATAACTGACCACAGACCGGCCTATCGCGTTATAAGAGGTCAACAAGGTAAAGAGTGTGGCCGTTGATTTCGTGGCGGATATTTTCATATTCCTCGCGTGGAATTATGCGGCAAACTCCGCGAGATAGAAGTTCAGTCTTTCGCATATGTCATCGACCGTGATTGTACAATCATCCACATACGTTACGATCTCTGGAAGGCCATTGTGCGCTGGAAATGAAGGGAGGAACCTCATTTTGTAACCATTCTTGGATGGCGCGTGCTGAGTGCAATGGTGTTAAGTCCCGTTGGAATGTCCAAGGTCTGCGGCCAAAATATTTGCCTGCCCAAGGCTTTAATACACCCTTCAGAATACTTTCGCAATAATATTCGTCATTTATTCTGATGCCACAGTCGAGCCGGCGCTTGAGTTCTGGTGGCCAACCGAAGGTGCACATTTTCAGCTAACCTCTTTGGGAAGTAAACACGATCATTTTGTTTGTTTACAAACTGCCGGACAACGAATGTTTTCTCATCGGAGAAAATCAAATTCGACAGTTCACCACTTTCGGCCAAGCGAAGCAACTCTTTAGCTCTTTTGAGTCCATTTTCTTTCTGTTGCGATGTATATTTTTGCACTTTTTGGAATTGCAATGACTCTACCCCGAGCTCATTTTTCAATGCTGAAGTGCTCTAACGATAGCCACTTGTGGTTTTCCAGTCAAATAAAAAGAAATCACACTATCACGCTTAAATTCCGTCACGAATAAATTGTTTTCTGGAAAATGCTCACCAAAATGCTTTTGTATGCTTGCAAACAATGTAATGAGCTGTCACTGGAAAAAATTTTACAGCTATCGGACGAGTGGCTTAGAAATAACAGCAGTCTGAAGTTGGTTGCAGTTTTATCATCTCACCCTGTAATTTTCAAGGGCCGTGGATTTTAAAGATTATATTTCTGCGAAACTTTAAAGGGGTTTTTTTTTGGAAAAATGTTTAGTGACCCAAAACGAGATTTTTAATTTTTATTGAGAGCTCGCAAACATTGTTTTTTAAAACACTTTTTCAAGGACCTACAAGCGTAATTTTTTCATTTTTCAAGGATCCACGAACGTGAGTTATCAACACATTTTCCAAAAATCTGCAAAAAAGCAGTTTTAAAAAAAATGTCAACGAAACACAAACGTAGATTTTTGCAACACTTTCAGTCTTTTCCATTTGAAAAATCCATTCTCTCTTACTACACCCACTGTATATAGCTCACGGTCTACTTATGTATATTATCGAGTCTTGGAATCTAGAAGTAACAACTGCTGCTCCTAATTGCGGTATAGTTATGAATGTTGTTGATTGTTTGGCATACTGACTGAATGACTGGCTGGCTGCCGTTGTTACCGCTGCAGCATTTAGGCCTACTTGCAACTGTGCTGGCGGTCGGCCTGAGATAATATTTGGTGTCGTTCCCCATCCCGCCAAGTCGAGGCGAAAAAAAATCTATGGGCGACGACGATTTAAATTGCGATTACGTTCGCAAAAAATATGTGTTGTTATATGCGTTTCTTGTTGTTGTTGTTGTACTATTTTTGCGTACAACAAAAACGTGTAGAGTTGAAAAAATCAAAGCAACAAAAGACTTGCTCTATTCAGGCAGGCTGGCTGGCAGACAGACGGTGTCATAGGTGCCATAGGTATTTCGGCTGTTGGCGTTGCCGCTGCTATTGTTGCTTTTGTTGTTGTTGTTGTCGTTGTGGTTTGTGATTTGTTGGGCTGAGTGTTATAGGCCGAAAACTGTTTTAATTTTTGCATAAATATTTAACAACTTTTCTTGTTCGATTTTTCTTTTGTTCTTGTTGTTAGTGTTGTTGTTGCACCGAGGCACACGTTGCCGTAAGCGGGCGTTTTGCTGCCATGACTAACAATTGACTCGTTCGATCGAACGCAGACAAATTTTCATGTGAACCATGGCAGAAAGTAAAATTTCTGTGCGGTATAAAAGCGATTGCTGACTCCAGTTAGAATCACACACGGCATTCTGCACTTTAACGGATTAAAACGGTTAAACGAGAAAAACGCTTCCACACAAAAATACATACAAAATGGTTCAAAAGGCAAGTTCTGTAGAGAATTTTTGTTGGTTGTAAATATTTTCATTGAAGATGTGACCTTTTGTCGTCCATTGCAGTTGATCGTTCTTAGCACTCTGTTGGCTGTGGCCTCAGCTGTTGTCATTCCCGCTCCTGCCTATCCAGCCTATGCCCATGGACCTGCATATCCAGCCTATCATGGACCCGCCGTCTTACCTGCAGTAGCCAAGTTGGCTGTGGCCAAAGTTGCCGCCCCTGAGCCATACGATCCCAATCCCCAATACAGCTACAGTTATGATGTTCATGTAAGTCCAAAATTACTAGGCATTTCTACTACCGTGCTTGATTTACATTCTCTCTCTCGCTTAGGATGCCTCTACCGGTGATATTAAGAGCCAACAAGAAACACGTAACGGCGATGCTGTCCAAGGTGCCTATTCTCTGATTGAACCCGATGGCACCCGTCGCTTGGTGGAATACACCTCGGATCCTGTCCATGGTTTCAATGCTGTGGTCCATCGTGAACCTGCTGCCGTTAAAGTAGCTCCCGTAGCTAAGGTCTTGGCCCCAGCTCCTCTTTTACATGCTCCAGTTGTTGCCAAAGCTGTACTCCCTGCCTATCATGGCATTCCTGCCTATCCCGCCTATCATTAAGGCGTTTTGAGAACATTTTCAAAACCCCAAACCCATGTTGACGGACTTGGCTACTGTGCCCATTGAACCACACGAAACAACAATCATCACACACACCCACACCAAGCATTGAGAGCTCATGCGAATCCCTGCCGAAAACCCTAAGCCACCATCACATGGAGGCCCACTCATCTCGCCAGGATTCTGTGTACGTTCTCATTGTTATAGTCATCACCAAAACGAATAACTGCATGTTGAGAGATCGGAACGAGGTTCTGGTTTTCCGTTGCAGTTATTTTTGTTTTATCCACGAATTTATTCATCATTTTCTTTTGCGATGCTTGATTTTTTGACGCCCGCCTCAGAACTTCTGTTCGGGCTCTTCTTCGTGTCTCGCATTGCAAATAGTTTTTAAGGCTGTTTGACCGCGATAAAGTTGTTTAATTACGTAATACATCTACCTATGTAAATATTTAATTTAATTTTAATAATTTTATAATTGATAAATAAAAATCGAGGGAGTATTTTTATTAAGACCCATGAATGCAACATAACAGTATCGATGTTCTTAATGGGATGGGATGGTGTACAAGAGATTTTCGAATTTTCCCGAATTATTTGCCAAAAAAGGTAAAATTTTCCACATTCAAATATTTAAATACATTTATACGAAACATTTGCAACCACAAGATACGGTTTGTATTACTTTTAAATATTCCACATTCTAAACGAATAAAGTAATGTTCCACAAAACGCAACTTCTTTAATTTAAGATTTTGAAGGACCTAAATGAAACTTATAAGAAATGTTAAGTTTTGACAGGGTTTGCTATTTAGGCAATAATTTCAAGGCCGAACATAATAAGGATTAATGGGTAAATCAATGCAGATACACCCTAGAATCTAAACGAGTAAATGGTAATGATCAGTATTTCAAATATTAATAACTTGACCTGTGTTTGTTTATAGGACTAGAATCATCAAATTTTGCATTTAGGACATCATTGATGCAAGACATCAGATAAGGTGACGCTTTACGAAAACGAAGTTGCCAAAAATGGAGGGAATTGATGTGGTACCTGATAGAAGGCAGTTATTTCATATACAGGGTGAGATAAAAAAAAACTGCAACAAAGTTAAACGCCATAATTTTTAAATTTTATTGAATGAAAGCAAAAAATGTCGGAAATAGCATCAAATTTTAGAATAAGTTTAGATTTGTTCGAATTGGTCACCTTTGCCACGAATTATGGTCTTCAAACGGCCAATGAAACCGTCACACGCTGCCTGAATGTTGCTCTGCGGTATTTTGGCCCATTCCCGACGAAGCGCTTGCTTGAGGTGATCGACATGACTGGTATTTTTTAGTGCCAACCTTGCTTTCCAAAAATACTCCAGACACAATAGTCCAAGGGATTGGTATCCGGAGATTTTGGTGGCACTGTGCGGAAATGAAGCGAGAAACCTCATTTTGTAACCATTCTTGAGTGGCGCGTGCTGAGTGCGATGGTGCTGAGTCCTGTTGGAATGTCCAAGGTCTGCGGCCAAAATGTTTGCGTGCCCAAGGCTTTAATACACCCTCCAAAACATTTTCGCGATAATATTCGGCATTTATTCTGAAGCCACGGTCAATTAATACGAGCGTAGAGCGACCATCGGTTGTTATGGCGGCCAACACCACCATTGCCGGCGCTTGAGTTCTGGTGGCCAACCGAAGGTGCACATTTTCAGTTGACCTCTTTGGCAAGTAAACACGATAATTTTGTTTGTTTACAAACTGCTGGACAACGCATGTTTTCGTATCGGACAAAACCAAATTCGACAGTTCACCACTTTCGGCCAAGCGAAGCAACTCTTTAGCTCTTTTTAGGCCATTTTCTTTCTGTTGTGGTGTAAGTTCTTGTTCGTTTTGGAATTTCAATGGCTTTACCCCGTGCTCATGCGACGCAGGTTTCGATCAAGTCGTTTCATTACTTTTCGAACCATTTCTGCTGATGTTGTTTTCTTCCATCCACTTCCTTGACGTCGGGCTACGCTACCAGTATCACGATTACGAGCGATGGTACGAAACATAAAAAAATTTATTCACATCTAAGTGCTGGAGTGTTCTAAAGAAAGCTACTTCTGGTTTTCCAGCCAGATATAAAGACATCACACTATCACACTTGAATTCCATCAAGAATAACTTTTTTTTCTTGAAAATTCTCACCAAAATGCTGTTGTACGCGTGTAAGCAATATAATGAGCTGTCACTATAATAATTTTAACAGTTGTTGGACTAGTGGCTTAGACCAGATTTTTCATCTCACCCTGTATTTAAATAATCGAACATTGGCTGAGGGTATAGATCTCTCGGCAAAACCGACTGATACTTTTTAAATTGTTTTATTTATGTGTTTATTTCTCTTGTATTGACATGTTTTAAGTTTAGGGAAAATCGGAGAATAATTTCACATTTTATGAGAACTATTACTGTTCAAAATCGTGGCCCTTTGTGAAGGAAGTACCAGAAAATGTGAACCTAGAAAAGAAAGTGAAAAGTTTCGAGCCTGATCTAAATCTGATACCTCCTCTATGAGATATGTTGCAGTTTCTCATAAAAAATCATAAAAACAACATTTATCACAATGTTCAATACATTGGATAAAGTTGAATACCCTACACCGCTTGGAACGAATTTGGAATTTTTCAAAAAATAAAATCCGTTGAAAATTTTGTTAAAATCTTAAAAATACCGAACATAGCCGTCATATTGGGGATCTACGACGTGAACCTACATAGGCCTTGTTTGTCATAAGCCATTACCATATTCAAATTCCAAACTTGAAATAAACGGTGAATAATGTAATCATCAAAATACCGTATATAGGCAGGTACCTTTATATCGGAGCTATACGAAGACCTGGTCCTGCACAGACAATTTTCTGTCATAGGCTGTAGCATCCATTATGAACTTCAAATACGACATCTCTCACAATTTCGGTATATACCGAATATTGGAAGGTATCGTTATATGGGGGCTATATGAAGACGTGGACCTGCACAAACAATTTTCTGTCATAGGCTGTAGTATCGATTACGAACTTCAAATACCAAGTTATAAACAATTCCGCTGAATAATGTAGCTAAAATCATAAAAATACCAAATATCGGGAGGTGCCGTTATATGGGGCTATATGAAAACGTGGTCCTACGAACTTAACCTGCCTACGGGCAAAATAAACATGTGTGCAAAATGTTAGCCTTCTATCTCAATTCGTTCGAAAGATAGCGTGATTACAGACAGACCGACAGACAGACGGACATCGCTAAATCGACTTAGAATTTTACGCTGATCATGAATATATATACTATGTTGGGTCTGACATGAGCATTTGGAGGAGTTACAAGCGGAATGACAAAGTTAATATACCCTCCATAGTATGGTGGAGGGTATAAAAAAACTATTCTGTTATCTTTCTTCCAGGTTTGGTTTTTCCATGCAAAAAAAACCCAAATGGAAATAACATTTCCAAATTAAAACAAGTAAGCAAAGGCTATAGCCGTGCGGGGCCGACCATGTGATACCCTACAACACTACAACATGTTAGAATACATTTTGGAAGATTTCGCGGTGCACAGCCCAGATATTACCCTCAGCATTCTGCCCAGGGATATTTGCCCAATATTTACCCACTCCGTCGTGCTGTTAGTTGTTGTGGTATATTTTTTTCAATGGTCATCCAAAATGCTAGAATTCTTCCCTGTCCTTAACGCTCTTCTCAGGCGTGTCGAATGGCTTCAATTGTGTGATCAGGAATTTTTCTCTGTTTTTGGTTCATGTGAACCCCTAATATTTTGCGATCATCTCCAAAAGCAGGAGGCGAATCTGTATCTCCAAATTTAGACTCATCTATATGATTTTCTTGTCTGCGATATTTGGCTATATTCGTCAATGAAATCGGTATAAAAAAGCAAGAAGTTCGCCTTTTGTGTATTTCGGATATCGCCTGTAAGTAATGTTGGTATTTTTTGTACACAAAAGTAGTGGTCCATTCTACCACTGTCCTAAACTCTAACTTCATGCGAGATTCCGTTTCCTTTGGTTTCTATTTGTGACCTTTATAACGGATGCAAAATCAGGAACATTTTTAGTTGTTGGTCCATTTCAACCCCTAAATATATTGCGAACATCTTTGAAAACAATAGGCCTAGCCCTTCTGAGCCTAACCCTACCCTTTTCGTGAGGATCGAACGATAATTGCAATATGCATTTAATATCCCCAACCTGTGTTGTAAGGTGAAAAAATATTACAAAATGTACACCTCAATATTATAAGTCAAATTGAAAAAATCGCATGCGATAAAAAATATGAAAAAATAAAAAAATGACACAAAATACTACAAAATCTATATTAACATCTTTTTTGGCATATTTTTCTGCGATTTTTTTAGATTTTGTACTTTTATGCCAAGAGGGCATTCTGAATTGACAAAATTTGTCAAAATCGGTCCAGCCGTTCTTGAGATATAAGCATTCTAGCTAACATCCCCTTCCTTTGTATATATACATTTTATATATTTCGCTATATATAACCGATATATTTACTATCGGCATCTACGTAACAGTCAGAATTGACCTGTTCGTCTATTTGTGATTTCGCCGGGATTAAAAATATTCGCGGTTTAATGGAAAATTTGACTTTTATTTAACATAAATGTTGTGGCCTATTTAACCCACTAAATATTACCCGATGACCATCAAAATTGGAAGGTTTCTGCCCAGTCCTAAGCTCTAGCCCCATGCTAGCTTCCGCTTTGATTGGTCTATAATTGCGACCTGTAGAGCAACTGCAAAATCAGGAATTTTTTTAGATTTTGGTCCATTTCAAACCCTAAATATTATGCGATTATCTCCAAAAGAAATAGGGTTCTATTCTGACCTTAACCCATAATTGCGACCTGTAGAGTGATTACAAATTAACATGGACAGACGGACGGACGGACATACATAGCTAGATCGACTCAGCTCGGCGAGATAGGAAGATCCATATATACTTTCCTATGTGGGAAATCAATATTTCGTGGTGTTACATAATTTTTGGCCCAATCAAACTTATAATACCCCCAACACAAAGTGTTGTAGGGTATAAATACTAATACATATAATTTACAGTATATTAGTATATATATTTGTATCTCATTTGAAGAAGTACGAAAAAGTCAAATAACTTTTCGATAAAATTAAATGTTACTTACATAAATCGGTAGAAAAAATTGGTTACTCACCTGCAAAGAATAATAATATATTCATTAGATTATTTTGAAATTAATAAATATCAATAATAAAAAAGTATAGTGTATATATTTATTGGTCCACTATTACTGATACCTCCCTCGGGTCAATTTTTCAACAATTATACCTCAAACTTTACAATGTGATGTAGGGTGAAAATGTTATAAAAGGTGACGCAAAAGTAATCATCCTATCAGCAAATGCTATAAGTTTTACGAATTTACGCAAATTTCCTGGCCGTCCAAAGCCTACTGGTGAAACACTGTGACGTTTAGGCGCTCGCCTCGAAGAGACTGCCACAACAAAAGATGATGCCAGGCGTGGCAGACCCCGGATTATGTGTTCTACAGAGAATATTGCTGATGTAGCCGAGGATCGATCGACCAGGCGACGTGTGACACAAATGAGTATCAGTCGACAGTCTTTACAGCGAGTTTTGGTACAAGGTTTGAAGATGTTTCCGTACAAAGCCCAGTTGGTACATTAGCTGTAAGCTGTTTATATATATACGCCATCCTTAATCTTCACCAAGAAGAAGATTTTTTATCAAAAATGATTGATGGGGCCTACTCAATCCGCTTGTAGCCCACGAAGAGCCATTACACCCGCTCGAAGTCACTGTATGGTGTGCTGTCTTCTTCGGTTACTGTAAATGATGAACGCTACAAAACCTAATCTGCCGTTTTGGCTATTTGCACTAGCCAGCAAGATCGCCCGATTTGCAATTGGACTAAAATGGCGTGTTTGGTACATCAAATCAACCGAAATATATACGGGACCCACACCCAAATCTAAACAAATTTCAATATATTTTTTTATTTTTTTTTAGGTTTTGCCTTGTTAAGGCGAAGATCATATGTTTATGTGTTTGTTTCTCTTTCCAGACGAGCTTAATGATCTGAAATTTTCAGTGAAAAGGAAAGCCAGATAGACACTCACCATTATGCGACGCGTTTCGCCATTGGTTAAGCGGCTCATCAGACATATTTGGAGTGGATGAAGGCTTACAAGGGTCGTAGTACATATTTCGAACTTATTGCGAATTAGCATATGCGAATTAAACACTAGAAACTCTCCAAGTTCGACTCAAGTTCTTTTAGCAGAGTTTGTTTGTAGTGATGGATTTTTTGTCCACAACAACTAAATAGTTTCCAATGCATACACTTGTTTTAGTGCTGCTTTAGGAAGACGGGTTAATGGCTTTGATCGTAGAGACGGCAACTTCTAGTTGGCTGTACACCGAGGTCCGCGGTTCAAATCAATCTCTGGAAAGTAGTTAATTCGCAATAAGTTCGAAATATTTACTACTTTCCAGAGAACGACCCTTGTAAGCCTTCATCCACTCCAAATATGCCTGATGAGCCGCTTAACCAACGGCGAAACGCGTCGCTTAGTGGTGAGTGTGTGATAGTGTGTATTTGGCTTTCTTTTTTACTGCAAATTTCAGATCATTAAGCTCGTCTCGAAAGAGAAACAAACACATAAATTTCAATATTATTTGGCAATTTTTTATTCAATATTCAATAATATTTTGAAATTTCATTGAGATTAAACATATATAGTGTATTTGGTGCTTCAAATGCACGAAATCGGCCAAAAATATATATGGGAGCTATATCTAAATCCGAACAGATTTCAATATAATTAGACAAGTAAATTTTTAGACAAAATTCCATCACACATTCCAAATTTCATTGAAATCGGAGATACTCCGATAATATATATGGGAGCTATATCCAAATCTGAACCGATTTCAATATAATTTGAAAAAAAAATACTTTTTGTACCAAATTTGGTAACACATTCTAAATTTGAAGACTGTATCTATAAGTGAAAAATAGATATGTGCATGTGATATGTGGAAGTACCTCTGATGCTATGTTTTCAGTTTCAAGTAAAATTTCAAAAATTTATATAGCCTATTTTACTTTCAGGTGATACTGCAGTATATTTGGAATTTATCGGGAAAATCTTTTCAGCTGTTTTCGAGTCCATACACAATTGAGTAGAGTTATCGGGCCCCTTCGTATGGCTTATGACAAAAGTTGCAAATGCAGGCCCAGGTCTGCGCATAGATCACATTATAATGGCTATTTTCGATATTTTTAAGATTTCAACAGATGTATTAACTGATTTAATTCTTTTGGAAATTTCCAAATTCGTTCTATATGGTGGGGGTATTCAAAGTTCGGCCTGACCAAACTTACTGGTTTTTTACTTGTTTTACTTGAGTATTAGAATGCACGAAATCCATATTGGTATCGATTCAGGTATGTTGTATTATTAACTCATCTACTTGGAAGGGAACTCCCCATTCGTACTCGAATTTGAACATTTTTCCCATAAACAATTGACAGGGTCCTATACCATTTTACCACATTAATTGAATTTCAATAGTTTCTCATGTCAAATATTTATCTAGCAATTACTGATATAAAAGGGTCTGCCTGAAAGAATACAGAACGGATTTAATTGCGTTCAGCCTAGATTCTCAAAATTTCGATAAAAATACCATTTTTGATTGTTTTTTTTTTTTTTTTTTTTTTTTTTTGTTTTTGGCAGATATCACGTTGTGTTATTCTTTTGTCAATTTCTCTTTCGAAGAGAGTTGAACCGAAATCGACCATCATTATGACCCATATTCTCTATACGCGACTGTCTCTTTAAACGCCTATAAATCCTTACACCAATTGCAGTTCTGCACAACTGTGATCTCCCAGACAAGAATGATTTGAAATTCTTTGTAAAATCTAAGATATTATAAAACTGATATTGAAGTTGCTCTTGCTTTTGTTGTTGTTTCTTGTCACTTTTGTTGGCCGTTTGCTTTCAACTTTTGTAATAGGCCGTTTAAAACGGCTTTTATGAACGGTTATAGGCCGTAATGTTGATTTAATTTTTGCATAAATATTTTATTTTATGTTGTGTTTTTGTTGGTGTTATTTTTTTGGAGTAAGCGGGCGGTGGTTGGCTGCAACAGCGAAAGAAACGGCCTCAAAAATATATGAGAAAATTGAAGAAAACAAAAAAACTGACAGCAAGTCTACGCTTAGAAGTGAACGTGAAAACGATTTTCGGCCAGTATAAAAGGAACAGTTGACAACGCCTAGAATGGCACACAGTACTTAGCATTTAAACGGATTACAACGAGACCAAGTTCTAGCCTTAGAAAATCGGGACAACAAAATGGTGCACAAGGTATGTGGGAGGGGAGGGGGCTTTTGCGGGCACTGAAAAAATTAACTTAAACTCTCTTGCTTAGTTTCTGATATTCAGTGCTTTGGTGGCTGTGGCCTCCGCTGTGGTTCTGCCAGGTCCAGCATATCCGGCATATCCTGCCTATCACGGAGTTGCAGCATTGCCTGCAGTGGCCAAAATCGCAGCACCTGTGCTGCCAGTGGCCAAATATGCTGTACCCGCTGTGGCCAAAGTAGCCGTTCCCGAGCCCTATGATCCAAATCCTCAATACAGTTTCAGCTACGATGTCCATGTAAGTAGAGCTCAATTTATTCGATAGGATATGTTAGGAAAATGGATTTAATTTTCAGGATGCCAGTACCGGTGATGTCAAGAGCCAACAAGAAACCCGTAATGGTGATGCTGTACAGGGCTCCTATTCGCTGATTGAACCCGATGGCACACGTCGTTTGGTGGAATATACCGCCGATCCTGTTCATGGTTTCAATGCTGTTGTCCATCGCGAACCGGCCGCCGTCAAAGTTGCCCCGGTCGCCAAAGTTTTAGCTCCAGTAGCTAAGGTCTTGGCCCCCGCACCTCTGTATCATGCCCCAGTTGTAGCTAAGGCTGTCTTGCCAGCTGCACCTTTGGCCTATCATGGCTATCCTGCCTACCACTAAAAGCTGATTCAGCTTTAAAGGCTAACCCCTACCGATGACGAATTGGATTTGCGCACATTTTGACAAACGCCCAAACGAACCAGGTTTAAACTAAACTGAGATAACACATGGACCCACACAAACGCACACACAATGTGAACCACCCATGTCGTTGTAGTCGCCACCAAACAGATATTCCAGATTAAAATATTTTTGTTTTCTGTTCGATTTTTTGTAATCTAAGAAACAGCTTTTCTTTATTTTTTATTTTTCTTTTTGTTAATTTTTCGTTTTATTTTTTTAATTTTGTTTGTGCTATGTTTTCTCCTCATTTTCCTCACGCATTATTATTTTCATGCTCTCACTATTTGTTGTAGTTACATTTAAGTCTGTTCCACAGTGTGAACCGTGTGAATTTTGTTAAATAATTTAATTAATAACCTATCTATGTATGTAAATATGCAATTTATTAATGAATAAAAAATCGAGGGAGTTCTTTTTTATGAAGTATGAATGCAATGAAAAAAAAATTGGTTTCATTTTTGCTAGGTCTAACGTTTGGTGGAATTGTAAAGGCCATGGTTAGCTTTTATATTGCCAAATAGTTTATATGGAGAATAGTTTATTGAACATTCTGTAGATGCGCTGCCAATGATGAAGGCATGTTGGTACAAACAAGTAAAAATATCGGTCCGCACTTTTAATACCTTTCACCCTTTTGAAGGAACCTAAAAAAATTCCAAAATATTCCGTCGAAAAATATAGCTATATGGCTTATAGAACAAGAAAGGATCACTCGATTTTGTTCAAATTTTGCAAATCTCAATATTTTTATCAGTGCTAAGTCAAGTATGAAATTGAACAATATCGGTACACTCCATCAAGTGGGGGAGACAAAGGTTCAATATTTGGAATAATTATAAATATAATATACTAGCTAAACCCGGCGCGCTTCGCTACTCCTTTCGCTTTTATATATAATAATATTAAATAATATAAATAAAACAAATTCAAACATTTTAAAAACGTTGTTATTGTAATACTTTAATGCGTAAACAAACAAATAGCTCGGTCTTCCAACGCGTGAACATGGCAGGAACAGCTGACCATGAGAAAAGCAGGAACATGCTAAATTTAGTCCGCATACACGAAGGGATTGTCCTTCGGATTTATTAATTTCATAGCAAATGCCAATTGTGACGGAAACTGCAAACTTTTGAAGTTGAAAGGCATTTCTGTTGCAATTAGAGAAATCGAGGTAGCAACATACTTTCCAGTAATAATCAAACCCTCAATTTAATTTTTGTGTAGTTTTTATACTTTCCACCATAGTATGGAGGGTATATTAAGTTTGTCATTCCGTTTGTAACACCTCGAAATATACATTTTAGACCCCACAAAGTACATGTATTCTTGATCAGCATAAAATTCTATGTCGATTCGGCGATGTCCGTCCGTCTATCCGTCTGTGGAAATCACTCTAGCATCCGAACGAATTAAAGTAGGTTGATAAAATTTTACTCAAATGTACATTATGTCTGCAGCACTTTTGGTATTGAAAATGGACCATGTAGGTTCACGTTTTGGTACAGCCCCTATATAAAGGTACCTCCCGATATTCGATACTTTGATGATTTTAGAGACAATTTGTATTTGAAGTTCGTAATGTATACTACAGCCTATGACAGAAGATTGTCTGTGCAGGTCCACGTCTTTGTATACATTCGGTATTTTTAAGATTTTAACAAAATTTTTAACGGATTTTATTTTTTTAAAAATTGCCAAATTCGTTCGAAATGGTGGAGGGCATTCAAAGTTTGGCCCGGCCGAACTTACAGCTTTTTTACTTGTTTAATGTTAGCCTTATACCATTGCAAAGGCGTTATGGGTCAATGCTTCTTAATAAAATTCCAATTCCAATCTGAAACGATTTCAATATAATTTGACAAAATTTACATTTACCAAATTCTGTCACACCTTCCATATTTCATTGAAATTGGAGGTACATACCGTGTTTGGTGCATAAAATATGTGAAATCAGACGATATGGTTATAGGGAGCTATATCCAAATTTTAACCGATTTCTAATTAATTTGTCAAATTTATTATTGTATTCAAATTCCGCCACACATTCCGAATTTCATTGGAATAGGACATAAATATGGTGTTTAGTACATAACATTCATGAGATCGGCCGAAAAATATATATGGGAGATGTACCCAAACCTCAACCGGTTTCAATATAATTTGGCAAAATTTATTTTTGTACCAAATTTAGTCACACATGCACGTGTTTGGTGCATCAAATACATAAAATCGGGCGTAAATATATATGAGAGCTACGTCCAAATCTGAACCGATTTCCATAAAAATGGCAAATATATTTTCTAATCAAATCCCGTCATTTATTCCAAATTCGGAGAATGTATCTGTAATCGATCAATAGATATAAGTACATAAAATCCAAATTTTTGGGAGGTACCTCCGATTCTGATGCTATATCTCCAGGTCCTAGTGGAATTTCAAAAATATATGTAGCCTATGTTACTTTGAGGCGATGTTGTAGTATACTTGGAAATTTTCAGGAAAATCTGTTCAGTGGTTTTCGAGTGCATAAATTACAAACAAACAAACATACAAACAAACAAACGTACAAACATTTTCCTCTTTTATATATATAGATAGAAAATAAATGTGAGCAAAGAGTCCGATTCTCTTCAAATTTCGCACATCCCAATATTTCTATCAACAAAAGATGGATTCTGGTACCTGGACATTATGTGGCAAAGTTTGATGTTGGATATTAAAAAAAAACGAGATTTACAGATACGTCCCTAGCAAAAAGTTCGGGTAATGAGTTTCCTAACCAATTTTTGGCAATCGGCAATTCCTCATTACTATAAAATTAGTCATTTCGTTTGTAACTCATCGAAATAATAATTTTAGACCTAACAAAGTATATATATTCTTGATCAGCGTGAAATTCTGCGACGATTTAGCCCGGTCCGTTTGTCCGTGTGTTGTAATCATGCTAGAGTCAAAGCGAATTAAGATAGGAAGCTAATATTTTGCACAGATCGGTATTTTGTGTGCAGGCAGGTCAAGTTCGAAGATCGTAAGGCCCTCATATAACGGTATATAACCATATAACCGAATATCGAGGGGTATTCGGTATTTTTATGATTGTAGGCACTTTGTTCAATGTAATTGTCTGAAATTCTAAACAAGGAGTTCTTTATTTACATACCTCCCTATATTCGATATTTTGATGATTGTGGCCAAATTTTTCAATGGAATTGTCTGAGAATCCACACCAGGAGTTGCTTCTGAGTACTTCACCCCTTGGAAGAGATTTGTCTATATAGGTCCACTAAATCGTATTTCCCCATATAACGGTAAATTTGGCAACAAGTGTGTGTATTGTGTCTGTGGATGGTTGGTATTAAAAATTGTATATATCGGTCAACGTTTTGGCATAGTTCCTAAAACCACCCAATATTTGGTATTTTGATGATTTAAGCCAACATTTTTTAACGAAATTGTTACAAAGTTAATATTAAGACTTTTTAAAGGATTTTACCTCTGGTGACAGAACATTGACTGTATGGGTCTACATTTTACTATAGTCTCCACATAACGGCACCTCCCGATATATGGTATTTTTGTGGTTTTAGCTCCATTTCTCCACGGATTTGGCATCCATAGCCATAGCTTCGGTGGCAGAATACTGTGTATGAAGGATATTCGGTATTTCGACGATTAATGTATTTATAGTCAAGAGCCTGTGTCAAAACTATGTATAAATTGATCCAAGGTTTCCATATAACGCTACCAACTGATATTCGGTATTTCGATAATCCTAGACGCATTTGCCCACGGAATTGTTTCAATTTTGTCTAAAAAAATTCCGTTTTGGTATGATCTCCATATAACGGCTCTACCCACCTTATTGATATTTGAAAACTTTAACTGAATTTTCCAACCTAATTCACTGGCATTTGCTGTTTAGAGTGGAACACAGCAAATACCAGTGAATTTCTTTAGCTAATTATGGATGGTATTTAAAGTTAGGCCCGGCCGGACTTCAGCCATATGGAGGGGATATATCATTTGATACGGCCAAAACGTGCCTTATCGAAATAATGGTTTTAGACCCTAGGTCTCTTTGGACCAAATCCGTTATAGGACATTTAGAGTCCGTCCGACCCTTCGTCAGGCTGTATGTCTTCTGGCTGGCTAATGCGCGCTATAACTCTCGACGGGAGTATCCGATTTGATCCAAACTTGGTACATCTTAATATTATTGTCAAACTTAGATCGAGTTCGGAGATGGGCAATATGGGTCCACTTCTTCTGATACCTCCCCCACAAAAGGTAGAAATTTCAAACAAATATTTTACTGCACAGAAAGAGAAAGCATAATCCAATTTTGCTCCAACTTTGGAAATCCTAATATTTACATCAGTGCTAGGTCAGGTGCGAAAATTGACAATATCGGTCCACTCAATCAAGTACCTCCCCCACAAAGGGTCAACATTTTGCATAATTATAAAATGTAAAATAAGCATCCGATTGCCTTACATTTTCACACATCTTAATATTTTTATAAACTTAAGATCTGGTGTAAAGATGGAATATATCGGTCCACTCCTTCTGGTGCCTCCCCAACCAAGGGTGGAAATTTAGAATATCCATTAAGCTCATAAAACGCGAAATTAACATCCGATTCTGTTCAGACTTGGTACATCTCAATATTTTCATCAACACAAGATCTTTAACTCTTTTAAGTCCATTTTCTTCCGGTTGCGGTGTAAGTTCTTACACTTTTTGTGCAAGAAATTCAATGGCTTAACTCCGAGCTCATTTTTCAATATTTGCCGAATGGAATATTGCGATATGTTCAGCTCACCAGTCATTTTTAGGCCACTCCGACGCGGGTTTCGATCAAGTCTCTTCTTTACTTTTCGAACCATTTCTGCTGATGTTGCTGTTTTCTGCTGTTCCGTCCACTTCCTTGACGTCGGGCTACGCTACCAGTATCACGGTAACGAGCGATGGTACGAGACACAAAAGATTTATTCATATTTAAATGCTGGAGTGCTCTAACGATAGCTACTTGTGGTTTTCCAGCCAAATATAAAGAAATCACACGATCACGCTTGAATTCCATCACGAATAACTTTTTTCTGGGAAATTCTCACCAAAATGCTTTTGTACGCTTGAAAACAACATAATGAGCTGTCACTGGAATAATTTTAACAGCTGTCGAAGAAGTGGCTTAGAAATGACAGTAGTCTGAAGTTGGTTGCAGTTTTTTAATCTCACCCTGTACATGGACGGAAGGACGGACATGCATAAATCGACTAAGAATGGATTCTATGCAGATCATCAATATTAACTATGGGTCTATCTCGCTCACTTCTCTATGTTACAAACACATGCACAAAGACATTATATCCCGACCACAGTGTGGTGTAGGGTATAAACAGCCATAGCCATAGAACTATAGCCACTACACAATAATCAAATCCCGTATCTTGCAAGAAACCAAAGAGATTCTTCCAGATTTGCAAACTTTTTTTCTCAAATTAACAGAACAGAATGGATTTAATTACTGCTTTGATTTCTGAGAGACTTGGAAATAATTTCGCAAGAATGTTCGACTATGGTCCCATTGATTTAACAAAAATTAACAGCTTTAAAGGTTCCGAAGACATTGTTACCTACATAAACTCATTCCAAAAGTGATAGCACACAGAGTGTTTCAATTAAAACCGCAGGTAGGATGATATTGAATTATTAGGCCTACTTTGCATTTTCAAGATTATCAAAAAAATGAGAGCTGCAACAAGTTCTATTGCATCAGCCAATGAAATAGAAACGTAAGTCTGCTAGAGAAAAAAATGTTATTTACAAAAAGAAAAAAAAAAAAGATTTTGGTTTTTCTCTTCTTTTTTTCTTCTTTGCGCTACAAAATGCAAAAGAAGTTGGTGTGGCCCATGTTGTTCTGCTGCTTTCAACTGGCAATAGGCTGTGTTTTTTCTTCGGCATTTTTTTCTTCTCTTTGCTTTTTTGTTTCAAACATTTTTGCATAAATATTTGAAACTTCATCGACGGCAATGCTGAGGGAGGGGGACGGGAGATTGGATTAACCGGCACCCAAAAAAAAAAGAAAACAGATCTCAAATTCAAAAGTAATTTTTTCGGTATATAAGGAATTGTTGACAACGTCTAGAATGCCAAACAGCAATTAGCACTTAAACGGAATAAAACCCACATTAAGAAGTTCAATCCGAAAAGAGCAGCTCATTAGAATAATGCATAAGGCATGTTGAGCGGCAGTGTGCTGTTTTGGGCCTTGCAAAATAATAATCCTTGTGTCATTTCCATTGCAGTTATTGATTGTCAGTGCCTTGTTGGCTGTTGCCTCCGCAGTTGTCCTGCCTGCACCAGCATATCCTGCCTATCCAGCTGTGGCCAAAGTAGCCAAAGTGGTTGGTCCCGAGCCTTACGATCCAAATCCTCAATACAGCTACAACTATGATGTCCATGTAAGTTGAAGGAATTTTTTCTTGGTTTGGACTTTATTTGCACAACAAGGCGTTTTCATTATCCTTAGGACCCCACAACCGGTGATATCAAGAGTCAACAGGAGACACGCAATGGCGATGTCACCAAGGGTGCCTACTCACTGGTTGAACCTGATGGTACCCGCCTTATTGTGGAATATACCGTAGATCCTGTTAGTGGTTTTAATGCCGTTGTCCAACGTGAAGGTGTTGCCAAGGTGGCTAAGGTTATTGCGCCGGTTGCTAAGGTTTTGGCACCTGCCCCTCTATATCACGCACCAGTTTTGGCCAAACCTGTCTTGCCAGCCTATCCAGCTTTGCACCCATTGCCAGCTCTGGGTCCATACCATGGCTAAGTTGAGTATTACATAAAATACCCAATGGCGAAACTGATGACGGACCAGGCTTTATTTTGTTTTATCAACGATCGACCGACCACGCACGCAGACACACGCACACACAGGCAGGCAGCTACAAACCTCAAAACGAACCTCAGTTTTTATATTCCTAAGGCATATTCATCCAAGCGCCCACCATCCATGTAAGTGGTATCCTCCAAATGGGTGTGTGTGTGCGTGTGTATGCTTCGATTTTTTAGTCACCACCACAGCCAAACACGCCGATGTGTATCTGTGTTGGTATTTTCTCATTAATCTCATATTTCATTTTTGTTTTTTTACTTTTATTTTCATTTCTTTATTGCGTAGTTTTGCTTTCTCCTCACTTCGCTTGCCATAGTATCTGCTCAGTCTTTCTTCTATAGATAAGAATTTATGTTTATAAATATATTTAATACTAGCTGAACCCGGTGCGCTTCGCTACCCCTTTTGATTTTATATGCATTCTAAATTTTATTTACGAATATATGTTGGATAAAGAAAACAAATTTAAAAATTAAAAAAAAAATATTGCACTAATTTAATGCGTTAATAAAGAAAATCACTACAAAAGTAGTAACATGACATGCATACATTTGTCCTTTGGATTTATTTATTTCATAGCAAATACCAAGCGTGCAGGAAACTGCATTTTTTAAGTAGAGTGGCATTTCTATTGCAGTTAGTGAATTCGAGATAGCAACATACTTCGCCGTAATAAGCGTATTTCAAATAAATTGTTGTGTTGTTTTTTACTGTTAGCCTAAGGCGTTTTGGGTCAATGGTTCTTATTAAAATCATATCCCAATCTGATCCGATTTAAATATAATTTTAAAAAAATTACTTTTACACCAAACTCCGCCACACCTTTCATATTTCATTGAAATTGGTGCGTCAAATATGTGAAATCGGCCGAGAATATATATATGGGAGCTATATCCAAACCTAACTAATTTCCAATTAATTTATCACATTTATTATTATAACCAAATTCCGCCACACATTCTGAATTTCATTGGAATCGGTCATATATATCGTGTTTGGTGCATAATATGTATGAAATCGGCCGAAATATATATGTTAGCTATATTCAAACCTCAACTGATTTCAATATAATTTGGCAATTTTTGCTGGTGCCAGATTTTGTCTCTCTCGCTTTGGGTGCATCAAATATGTGAAATCGGCTGAGTATATATATGGGAGCTATAATCACATCTGAGCGTATTTGAATATAATTTGTCAAATTTATTTTTGTATTTTGTTGGAATCGGAAATACGTATCGTGTTTTGTGCATCAAATATGTGAAATCGGCGGAAAAATATATATATGGGAGCTATATTCAAATCTGAACCGATTTTAATATAATTTGACTAATTTATTTTCTCATCAAAATCCCGTTACATATTCCAAATTTCTTTGGAATCGAACATACATATCGTGTATGGTGCATAAAATACATGAAATCGGTCGAAAATATATATGAGAGCTATATCCAAATCTGAATCGATTTTAATATAATTTGACAAATGTATATTTGTTTTAATTTCCGCTACACATTCCAAATTTCATTGAAATTAGAGATTCATATCGTGTTTGGTGCATCAAATACATGAAATCGGTCGAAAATATATATGGGAGCTATATACAAATCTGAACCGATTTCAATTTAATTTGACAAATTCATTTTGGCTCCCAATTCCGTTACTTATTTTAAATTTCATTACAATTGGAAATACATGTCGTGTTTGGTCCACCAAATACATGAAATCGGCCGAAAATGTATATGGGAGCTATATCCAAATCTGAACCGATTTCAATATAATTTGGAAAATCAATTTTTTAGATAAAATCTATCACACGTTTCAAATTTCATTGAAATTGGGGATACATAGCGTGTTTGGTGCATCAAATGCTTGAAATCGGCCGAAAATATATATGGGAGCTATATCCAAATCTGAACCGATTTCAATATAATTTGGCAAACTTATTTTTGTTCCAAATTCCGTTACGTATTCCAAATTTGGAGACTGTATCTTCAACCAATCAATAGATATGTGCATATAAAATCTAAATTTTTGGGAGGTACCTCCGGTTCTGATGCTATATCTCCAGTTCCAAGTGGAAATTCAAAAATGTATATAGCCTATGTTACTTTCAGGCGATGTTGCAGTATATATGGAAATTTTCAGGAAAATCTATTCAGCGGTTTTCGAGTCCATAAATTACAAACAAACAAACAAACAAACAAACAAACAAACAAACATACAAACATTTTCCTCTTTTATAGATATAGATAATATAATTTGTACATACATGTGTATACGAATAAAAAAAAAACAACGAACGAAGGGAGTTATCTTCGAAATATGAATGCAATGAAATTGATCATAATTGTTTTATTTCAAAACATTGAAATTGTTAATTTATAGGAATTGCTAAAAGGGTGGGCAACGTGGGTATACAAGCATTTAGGGAATTCTAAACATTTCAAGTGAAACATATTTGAGCTATCCACATAACAATTAAAAGTTTTTATGGGAGATTTCAATCATGCATGCTATGATTATAGTTATAATTTGAAGTCGAAAAGACTGAATATGCCGAAGTATTTGTATCTTTTAAATTATATATATATATATATATATATATATATATATATATATATATATATATATATATATATATATATATATATATTTCATATGTATTATGTATTATGTATGTATGTATGTATGTATATGTATTTCATATATTTCCCTGAATATCGTTGTTACGGAGTGCATATTACTGCTGTGGGTAACAAATATAACAAATCGGATGAAGAATATATATGGGAGCTATATCTATATCTGAACCGATCTTCACCAAATTTGACATACTAGCTTCTAGACTCAATTCGGTCGTAAATGCCAAATTTCATCTCATTTAGGCAAATATTAGATATTTGGTCCACAATAAAATGTAAATCGGACGAAGTTATGTATGGGAGATATATCCAAATCCGAACCGATCTCGATAAAATTTAGCAAAGGTGTTTCTGAGCTGTATTTCCCCAACTATTGTTGTTACATAGTGCATATTACCGCTGCGGAGGACTAAAATAACAAATCGGATGAACAATATATATTGGAGCTATAGTTAAATCTGAACCGATTTCGATCAAATTTGGCATACTTATTTTCAGGCCTAATTTGGTTGTATGTGCAAAATTCCATACTATTCGAGATATTACACGTTTGGTGCACAATAAAAGGCAAATCGGACGAAGATATGTAAGGGAGCTATATCTAAATTTTTACCGATTCTCGCCAATAGGGTTTGTCTTTGGGCCAAACAAATGATTTGTGCAAAATTTCATCTGGAACGGGTAATAAATGCGAACTGTACTTTGTTCACAAAAATACATGGACAGACGGACGGACGGACTATCTCAATTCCTTTTGCCTGTTACAAACAAATGCACAAAGACATAATACCCTGACCACCTTGTGGTGTAGGGTATAAAAATTGGGTGACACAAAATGGGGATATACAGACGGATCTAGGTCAATTCAAAAGTCCATAAAAAAATGTGACTAAAACCATGCAAAGGTATATATATATATATATATATTTGAATGAAATTTGGCCTCTGCCACAGCAGCTGGACCCCATTACCAACTACAAATGTCAATTTTTGAGCAAATCAGTAAAAAATGTGGCTTAAACCAAACCATCAAAATACCGAATATCGGGAGTAACTGTTATATGGCGACTATCCGAAAACGTGGACGGATATATCTTATTTTCAATACCAACGATCCCAGACACAATACAAATTGCTGTGCCAAATTTAGAAGCTCTACTTCAAATTTCAACTGACAGACCGACAGACTGACATCGTTAAAGCGGCTTAGAATTTCATTCTGATTATTAATATGTATACTTTTTGGGGTATACGACGAATAGTTAGGGATGTTACAAACGAAATGACAAAGTTAATATACCCTCTCTTTCACGGTGGAGGATATAAAATTCGTATTTTTTCTTAAATAATTAGCACGATGGACGATGTTAGGCAACTTTTTAGTATGGTCCTTATGATATAAGTCTTATCCCGATTGTAAGTATTTATACAGGGTGAGATGAGAAAACTGCATCCAACTTCAGACTGTTGTCAGTTTCTAAGCCACTTGTCCGACAGCTGTTAAAATTATTCCAGTGACAGCTCATTATATTGTTTACAAGCTTACAAAAGCATTTTGGTGAGAATTTTCCAGAAAAAAAGTTATTCGTGATGGAATTCAAGCGTGATAGTGTGATTTATTTATATTTGGCTGGAAAACTACAAGTGGCTATCGTTAGAGCACTCCAGCATTTAAATGTGAATAAATCTTTTGTGTCTCGTAACATCGCTCGTTACCGTGATACTGGTAGTGTAGCCCGACGTCAAGGAAGTGGACTGAAGAAAACATCGACATCAGTAGAAATGGTTCGAAAAGTAAAGTTCCAAAAAGTGCAAGATTTTACACCGCAACAGAAAGAAAATAGATTCCAAATAGCTGATGAGAAAACATTAGTTTTCCAGCAGTTTATAAACAAACAAAATGATCGTGTTTACTTATCAAAGAGGTAAGCTGAAAATGTGCACCTTCGGTTGGCCACCAGAACTCAAAAAAATAATAATAGGAAAATGTTTACCATTTACAATAAAAAGTCTTTTAAATCTTTCATTTCGAAGTTTATGGAGGAGGATGTTAGTCAAACCATTGCACAATGGACCCATGTCCAATTTTTCTGTCCACAACTATTTCAACATTTCCATACGTAAACTCCAGAAACTGATAACAAATCTCAGAATTTCTGTTCTATCCCTTCACTCAACCAACTATATGTGACCATACAATTTAGTTCCTTTCGTACAGTTTAAGTACACATTTTCAAAACAATCTCTATATCTCAACCTTAGATACTAAGAGTGATCTCAATAGCAAATTTCAGCTCTATAATTTTCCGCATTACTAAATTTAGTAAAATACAATACATATACCGCACGCTTATCAAAAACCAGCTCCTTTTATCAATCACATACACCAACGATGATCCCTGGTCTCCTTGGATCAAATCCGTTTCAGGACATTTGGAGTCGATCTAGCGATGTCCTTTCGCCCGTCA